TCGGATGTCATATAACAGAGAATGTTCAGGCCTCAGCCTTGTAAAACACATCAATGTGAAGTGAGCCGTCCTGTTGAACCAGGATTCTAGCACCAAGGAAAAGACATCACTCATCTTGCTCCGTAGTGTTTCTCCACTCAATACCATATCGAGCAGGGGAGAGCCAAGATGTCTTCCCTGATAGGTTGTTATTAATGAATCGGTACATGAATGCATATGCCTGCACAGTGTGTGGATCTCACTCTTGAAGTTCGCCAACGGACTCTGCTTTGTTGTAGCAGAGCGTGAGGTTGGTTAATTCTGGTCCGGCGTTAGTGCCCATAGGGATACCAACCACCTAATGGAGCAAAATATAATCCGATGTATAAAGATGTATATGGGAGCTACAAACCGCAGATGTGGTTAAATATCTGTCTGACACCGAAAGTGTACAGGAGCCACAAGAAGTAACCCACTCCCCACGATAAGGACCTCCTATAGTCAAATACATTTGTATTGTCCAGCTTCGCTGTGGGATGCACACCAAAGCGTAAATCACGTGCTTCACGAACATAGTTTATGACATCGCTATGACACTGCTACGAATCATGTCATTTGGCAGGTTTGTATACATTGTTGTAAAATCCGTTCCGTGTGGCGTACAGCCTTGAAGGGAATGTGCACTCTGCTTGAGGCCCAAAATGACTTCCTCAGCACTTTCCACGATCCAACAACATTATACACCGCCTTCTTGATAAAGCTCATTGTCCATACTATGCAGAGACTTGTTCACGCCTTGAAAGCATAGCTCCATGAATGAAAGGCCATTGTCCTACTTGCGAGAGGTTTACGAGGCGGGCCTATTACGCAGGTGCGAAACGCAAGGTAGATGAGGCGCTGGGCTACATGCGGATCGGGAAAGGTTGTTTCGCTGAATAACTCCGTCAATTGGACGTAGAGCGGACGGGGGTAGAGAAGGAAGGGTGTTAGTATGTCAACGACCTCAACGTTAATTGAAAAGTGCATGGCGCTCGAGGATGCTGGCCACATACTCCGATGCTTGATTGTATGTAGGACAGTAATATGCTGTGATAACTTGTGTACCAGCATTCGCAGCAGATCGCGATGCTCTATGATGTTTAATCTAATCGACAATTAGTATGCCAAATTGCTGTTGTGGCCATTGAAGAGTGGTGCTGGCACGCTCACGAGGCATCCTGAGCAGGTGCTTGGTATGACGACCTGGAAAAAATCATTTGGCTTCTTCAAAAAGTGTTGTGATCTGCCCAGCTAAGAGAGAGAGTCACCAAGTTCTTACAGCTTCATTGTTGCGAGCTGATCTCATGGTTGCTATAAACTTAGCAAGATACTCGTCCAGACCAAGCTTCAACGCTTTCATCAGGCCTGTGGTGTCAGCATTGAGGCAATACTTGACTTGGAGCCCTCAAAGAAGAGTGCCCACAAATGTGTCTGGTACAACAATGTCGTTCACTGTGGCCACATGACCATCAAGAACGTCTGCACGACGTGAAAATGCTTGTCGACATGGACAATTGCTAGGGTCTGAAGGAGGCATATTGCTTGTTATATCGAGTACCACTTCTGTAAAATTATAGAACCGCACACGAATAGGTGACACCATCTTGTCACAGCTACGTATCTCCTTGGCAAGAGCAGGCCGTGTATGTAATTCAACGACCTCCGGTAGCCGAAGGACGCCCCGCGATTGTGGTCCGAGCAACCTGATGCATGCACACAGCTTCGATGAAATTTAAGAGTGGATCCGTACCGTGTGAAGGACGGAAATACGATTGGCGTGAATATTGCAGACCTTGGATCATGCCCCTCCAGTTCACAATGTTCGGTGTGAGCTCCGAGTTCGAGACATTTGTTTGCAGCCATTGCAGCAAGCAAGAGCGCCAGGCTGAGGTGGCTTCAGAGAGCGTACGGAATACTGATTGCCAGTCTGTATTAGCCGCTTGAGTAAGCATGTGACGTACGGCTGAGCACACAGCACAGAATGGACCTGGGGCAGTGGCAATCGTGAAGGGTCTGTCACCAAGACTTTGTGCTTCGAGGCGAATCGTGGACGGGGGGAGGATTTCGACTGCCTCTCGAACGATTCCATCAAATTGAACGACGAGGAGTAGCCACAAGGTTAAACAGTTCATGAATGATGGAACCGTCAATATCCACATAGAGATGAGGTCTCTACACTCGAGGGGCGAGACAACAAAATGAAATGGAAGTTGCATAGCCATGGAGTGATAGAGCATGTGTGTATGTGCGCACGCGCACGTTTTGGTGTGTGCGAGTGTGGGTGTGCACAGGCGGCGATCAGGAAGACAGATGCGACCGAAACAATGCCCACACATGTCATCCCACCGGCAGACAATGTCAACAGATGAAAGCTGGCAGGGGACGACAAACGACCATTAACGCCATTATCAACCACCCACAGAAAAGAAGGCCCACATCTCGCATAGGTCCCGATTAAAAAGAAAAGAAAAATGGCCCTTGTTCAGAAAGAAGACTGTGACAGCAGAACAAACAAAGAATAAAAAAGGGCAGCAAAAAGGTAGGAGGCCATTGAATGTTAGTCCAAATGCCACATCACACCTTCATGGTTTGAGCAGGCGATGAACATTCGCCATTGCCGCACGACAATCCGGCAGGCATTACCACCAGCTGTGATAACTTCCAAATGGTATGCAGTCGGTGTACCCGCACGTGATGTATGTAGCAAATTCTACTATACGTAGTGATCCTGTGCTGAAGCTGCAAACAGGTGACTCATGTGCTGCCTTGTGGGTCATCCATGACACCCCTTTTCACCCTTTGCTCCACTTCCAGAATCATCTTCCGCATTTCCATCGTTCAAGATATTGACCTAAAAACTTTTCATGTCCTCGACAACTCAGTTCCTCCTCTCCTCATCTTGCGTACAAAAAAGGTGGAAATCAGCTCAAACGTCTGGCTAATCATTTACATATACACGTGCAGTTACTCCTCAAAAAATTAGCATTTCATCCGTTTTCCTTTCGAAAACCCGTGCCGAAGTGCTAGAGGGGGGGTGATATGAGCATCCTCCTCTTGCAGGCCTGCTGCGGGCAGCTCCAGTCTATATAGGTGGGTGAGGAGCAGCGCCTGCTCGGACCCGGGTCCAGCATCCCATCATATCACCATTAGCATTTTCGTCTCCACACACCAATGTTCCAGAAACAAAAAGCACACCCGCAATCCACAAAAGGTCAAACGCAACCAGCACATGTCGATCAATAGTGATTGCGGGTGTTTTTTGTTTCTGAAACACAACAGTCCTGGAAAGGCCATATCAGCCGCTCCCAATTAAAATAGGAACAAACCAGTTTCCAAACCCACCTACAAGAGCAGGCATTACCATAAAAAGTAGGTAATGCCGCCAACCACCATAACACGCGATTGACGGACAATGAGCCTCCTCCCATCTAAGTTTCTTTCCTTCTTTTACCCTGATGTCTATTGATTGTCCTCTGTTTTTAGATACTTCGCCCTGCAATTCTCGGCTAACCGAACAGGCTCGATCGACTGTGCACCTTCCATTTCAATTCGGTACTCGTCATCAGCACAGTTGCTTCGTCCAACAAGAAATCACACGAAACACTTCTTTCGCACGGGAGACATCCCATCATAATAACAACTTTTTGAAGTTTTTGTGCCCTCTATTGAGCTCTTCAGATTGGGAAGGAGTTGCCCACCGCTTGGTATTCTCATGGAAACACAAATGCATTCTCCCTGCGCTTATTAGCGAGGGGGAGGGGATCCGTTTAAAGCTCTACCACCAAAGCGGGAGCCTCAGTAGGTTGATAACCGACTGCTGAAGCCATCCTACCTAATAAAGCAGAAACTTCTGATCAGAAGTCTACAAGCAAAAGTCTACAAGCAAAGCCACCCAAGCACCTTGCCAATAACATCGAGAGCAGTTACATATCAGTCAACCGGCGACAGATACCGAAACAGACGCGATGAAATATACCCATTACCACAACAAAAGAAACAATAAAAGAAACAAAAAAAAAAAAAAACAAGCAAAAACAATCATGTCAAGATCAAAAGAGAAATGCGCAAGAATGCAGACAAGGCGGAGGAGATCCGCGACAATTTCGTTCACAAAGTGCTCAGGGGGCAGGTAGGATTCACTCGCTGGAAGACTGACTGGGTTCATCCGGTTGAAATGGAAGCAAGAACGGCTGGATGCTGCCGTAGCAGTACACGACCAGGACGAGGCCTCAGTTCACAGCACAGCCTTAGCTGAGAGGTCATCCTAGCAACAGGATAGCGCAGGGGAGACGAGGGATGTTGGACGTGGTTTCCAGCACAGCAATAGGACACAGTGACACTGGACCCTATTTCCAGCTGAGGGACAGGGGGCAGGGCAGTCTATGGGACTGAGAGGTCTAGGGTCAAGCGCTCACTGCCAGCGGCGGAGCAGCGTTGTCTCAGGGGCCTTCAGCCATAATGAAAGGAAGGATGATGTGTGGCGTTGATGTACGATACGCTGGACCTGGTTTTCAGCACATATAAGGAGAAAAAAAATAAAAAAATAAAACAAATCACCATGATGTTTGCAAAGGCAACTGCCTCCAAACCAAACACACCTTATCTAATGAAAAACTCCTGAGTTATGTTCACCGCCTACTGTTGCCGGCTACTGTTTGCTTGCATACACCTGGCAAACGGTGCTCCTCAGAGTCCCGACAAGCTTCCTGCCAAAGCAACACGCCTCTCCATCGGAGTCTCAGGTGATTTTCTCAACATAAAACTTTTGAGTCGCATGTGATCTCTGACATAGAAACTTCAGTCTTCAGTCTCCTGTGATCTTCGACATTAAAAAAAAAAAAAAAAAAAAAAAAAAAAAAAATCTCCTGTAATCTTTAACATTAAAAAAAAAAAACTTCAGTCTCCTGTCATCTTTAACATTAAAAAAAAAAACTTCAGTCTCCTGTCATCTTCAACATCAAAAAGAAAAAAACACACCTCTGTCTCATGTGACCTTTAACATAAAACTCTGTGCCTTGGACTACGAATCTACGATATAATTCTGTCAATCCTCACTATCAAAAATAGTATTAATCCTTCTAATCATATTTGACAAAGTTCACACATCTCCTACTCACCTTCCCCACCACCTTCTTCCTCTAACCACCCTTTCTTTGAACCTGTGTTTGCGCCTCTTCCCCCCTTCCCCCCCTCCCCTGCTTCCCCATCGATCTTCCCTCGTTTGTTTCTGATCCCCGCCCCCCTCACTCATTCCTTTCTGCCTTTCTATGATTCACTTGGCCATACATTCACAAACTCCTCGGTACCTCATCATATGCCTCGCTGAAAAAAGGACAGGCAAATCCTTCCACCCTCTGCCTACATGCCGCTCACACCTTTTCCTTCACACCTCCCAGAGGTGGCTTCAGTGAGCCTTGTCACCCACTACCATGAGAGCAATCTTGCATATCAACCCGAGGTCGCTCTTACCCTGTGACCTCTGTTTCCAGATAAAAGTGAACAGAAGCCAAACTACAATAATTTCGCAAATGGCCAACGACAATCACTCCCTCCAGCTCTAATACTTCAGCACAACTGCAATCACACACTCCGAATCCCTACACTTTCGTCACACCAATGATTCACATAGCAAATTAACGACGGTACAACACATTATGCACACACCAACAATTAATTTTCACCTAAAAAAAAAGAAAGAAAGAAAAAAAAAATTGGGCTGCGGCTGCGGCTGCGGCTGCGGCTGCAACCAACCGGGGGCTTTAGGTTTCACACATTCTAACTCGAAAAAAAAAAAAAAAAAAACACTGTTCCATACATGGAAAGAGAAACTGTACACACAGATGGATTCCCCAACCATTGATATATAGAATCTATTTATAGATCAATACTCAACCTGTGCAGTTCACCATTAGCACCTCGTGAACCCATCGGTGTTCGCCACTGCCACACATCACAACACACAAATGCTCCTGTCAAATCTTGAATGTTGTCGCTTGCCATATAACCTCCATCACCAAACATTTCCGCCACTGCTGACCTTGGCCTTCGTTCTTGTTCGACTTGTCACACTCCCGACCGATCCTTCCACAAGTCCTTCCAGTGTAGCTCCCGCCAGCCGAATACACAAGGGCCAAACACTCTGGTTCGGCGAGCAACTCGAGTACCGCTACCTCCTTCAAATCCAATGCCTTCCTCACAGACTTACTCTTCTTGAAGACCCCTTCTGGCAACCCGCCTCGTCATTTCAATCAACGAACTGTTGAGCGATTCGTTCCCCGCCATCCGGAAGTGGACACTCTGCCTTGCCCTTCATCTCAAGGCCCCATCCCACTGCTGCCACCTCCAAACTCGTCGGAACCCTGATCACTTCGTACCTCGCTCTCCACCCGTTCTTCGTTCAGTTCGTCGCGGACAACCAACCATTGCCGCGAGCGACATGCTCACACTGCTCGCTGACGGACACTTGGGATGTATCTGTTGTCAGCTATACATCCAGGGAAAGTCGTAGTGCTCTCGGGTATCGACATAAAAAAACATTTGACTTGATCCCACAAGGACGCGGACCTCGGACGTCAACGACCACCGCCAGTACCACAACAGTCAGGTCATTTGACATTTAACTGCACTGCATGGAACCCCCTGCAGTGATGGTTGAAGAAGAAGAAGTTGGTCTATCACACACTGTACATTACGAGGCAGAATAATAGATTCCATGCCCTCGGGAAACGCACCTCCCACCACCATCACCAATGCCCCGGTAGTAGCAGTAGATTGTCACAGAGTTCCGCTCAAATGCACACTGCTACAACAAACCTGCAAAGATCATATGTACATTGGGAAGCACTCCAAGGAAGACAACTTTCTAGTCCTATGACAAAGATGCTCAACCTGAAGGAAAGAACGAGTAACCCGTGAATACGCATGCCCCCACCATTCCCCCATCACCTAAGCCACCCGATTCTCCCTACAGCACAGCGCCCCTTTCTCATCAATCTTACTATGCACACTCAATTGATGTCAAACCACACAATTATGAAAGGGTTCCATGTCTCTTCAGAACCTACATCCACCAAAATCCATGCAATGATTAAACTAACCACCCATCTGGGGTGTTATCCTCTAACATCCGTGCAATTATAAAACTAACCACCACCAATCAAGGGGCATGATGTCTGCATCATGCCCAAAGAGGGCATTTAGAAAAAGCCCCATACTTTTAGTCAACACATATCTACACCATAGATGAAAACACAGAGCGCGCACACATGCATGCACACGCCAGCGATAGAGAGAGAGCGAGAGAGAGAGCGAGAGAGCGAGAGAGAGAGAGAGAGAGCATGCGGACATGCATGCACACATGCCAGCAAGAGAGAGAGAGAGAGAGAGAGAGA